CCTGCTCGTTGATCTTGCGACGTCGCCGCGCTCTGAAGGGAAGGAGGTTTTGGGTCCGGCCGAGTTGGTTCTACCGAAACACAGAAGGACACGACAGGTCTGGCGCGCTGCCGGGGCTTTGCTGCCCCGGCGGCGCGCCAGAGATGAAGGCTAGTTTAGAAAGTGTCACCAAATCAACACGACATCCGTCACAACACAGACGAATTGCAACAAGTGCCACGAAGAAACTCACTTGTAATTCCGAATTCCTCTCCTATAATTTGCCAGCGGTTGTTCTTAGCGTCGTTGTCTAGGTAGTCTGGCTGCGTCTTGTCATATGAAAAGGGAAACAGTCGCACAGTTTCAAGGAACCGCTCCGTTGGGGAAGGCATCGGGGGGAAATAGGGAGAGGAGACGACACGAAACACGTCCTTCGGAACGCGAAAGACGCGCCGAGGACCGGCTTGAGCGTTGCCATGGCATCGCGACGTCACTATCTGCGCCACCTCCCATTGGCTCCTTTCTTCTGCGGCGATGGCACCGAGCTCTGAACCGCGCACGGAGCGGGTGACTGTGCGGCGCCGTACGTCGCGCCGTTGAAGCCGAAAACTGGTTTGGGTCGGCAAACAGCAGCGCAGACCGTCGCGCCGCAGGCCTCCGCGACGCCAATGTGGTCGTGCCTTTACAGACAATGCCGACTTCGCTCCACGTGACAGTAAATGCTTTCGCATTAAAACAAATTGCAGATCTTTCCTAACCCTTCTCCCCCTCTCCCGCCCGGGTCCACCACAGATTAGCTAACAAATTTCCCAGAGCGGCCCTCCCCCCTCCGACGAAAATAACTGAGCGGCAATGCTTCCGTGACCAACTTTTTGGTGAGACGTCCAAATCATATACTGTAAGCGACTTAATTTTCGCGGGCTCTAATTTTCGCGAATCAGGTCAAAGCGGAAAATTTGAAATTATTCGCGGGTTTTAATTTTCGCGAATCGAGCGTAGCTTTCGTAGTGTTCACATATTGCCCGAATCGTTCGCGGGACGTATTTTTCGCGTTTGTAGGCGATTCGCGAAATTCGCGAAAATGAGGTCCTCGCGAAAATTTAGCCGTTTACAGTATATATATATCGTAAAAAGGAGGGAAATGCGTTAAAACATGTTTATTGGACGACGTTCCGAGCGGGGACCGCTCTTCATCAGGTCCCAATGTATTATATACATATATATATATAAGTCTTAAAGCTCATATCCCAATGCGCTAGAAACTGCTTATAACACACATTGGCGCCATTCAGCGTTCCTCTGAAATGTCAAATAATCCGCTGCCTAGGTGCTCGTCGCGCTGCCGTCTTAGGGGAGCAGTGCACACTGCTTACCCGCAAGAAGTTGGAGAGACTGCATACAGAAATAACACACCTTTATCACAAAAACCCTAGACAATCCATTGCCGGGCTGCCTCCGTGCGCCCTTGGCCGCGCCAATGTATTTGTCTTTCACATGCCCACACGTCACAGAACTCCTCATGGCGACCGGATTTCCTGGTTAGTCCACGTGCGCGCACCTTCAATGACGCGTCCCTAGCCGACCTTAATGTGGCTGAAAGCTGACGCGGCTCCAGCATCGCTCGAAATGACAGCGAACAGCAGCTTCTCTTGCGAACGTGTATAGGCACTTAAAGGCCAACGTACACTTGGAGATTTCCACCTTTTCCCGCCTCCTCCTTTCACATATATTCTCCACTTCTGGAGCGCAGCTTTTAGGCGCCCATTTCCGGCTTGAGCGGCGTCGCCGTTGGCGTCGGGGTAGCCGCGCGTGGCATTATGGGAAAATATCCCCGCTAAATATAGCGTGAAAATTTTCGCAAAATGTCCCTCTCAACTTAGCGGGAAAATTGTTCCTCTAAATATATAGCGGGAAAATTGTCGCTAAATTTCCCGCTAAATTTAGCGGGAAAATTTTTCCGTTAAATTTAGCTGTAATAATTTCCACTAAGTTTAGCGGTAACATTTCACAGCTAAATTTTGCGGTAACATTTCCCCGCAAAATTTAGCGGTAACATTTCCCCGCCAAATTTAGCGGTAGTCCCCGCTAGAATTAGCGGAAAGTTTCCCCGCTAAATTTAGCGAAACCTTTCCCAGCTATACTTAGTGAAAAAGAATTTCCCGCTAAATATAGCGGGAAAATGTTTGCACAATTTAGCGGGAAATTTATCGAACATTTTACGCTAAATTGAAGCGGAGCAGGAGAGGAGGAAAGGAGGCAAAGAGGGGCAGATTCTCCCCTCCGTACCCTCCCTCCTCCTCCTCAAGAGCTGTACTCCAGTTAGGCAATACAGAGAATTGTAAACTTCCTTAATTTTTTACCTTGCCTCTCTTGCAAACAAACGTCAACTGACACCCTGTTTACAACCAAGCCTGCGTTCGCCTCCACCGGACGACCGCAGAAAGCAGGTCCGCCGGACCTGGTTTCTGCGCACATTTCTGCACACTGGCGACAGCAGCGCCACCGTAACGGCGTCACGTCAGAGAGTTTAGTTGGTCTAAACTATAGGCACTTGAAGTGTTGAAGAGCGCAGCTCTTAAAAGGCTACTCCACCGATTTTTTCATTGTCTCCGATTTGCTTGAAATTTTGCTAAACTAACCAACAAACATCGCGAAAATAGTATCCCAAATATTAGGTCAAAATATTGTTTTTTCGCGAAGTTATTGAATTTACAGTTTTGGTCCTCACCGTGTTTTTCAAGCTCGAAGTCTCTACTGGCAACAATGAAAAAGTGACGTCAGTGGAAGGCAGGGGCCCTATTGAAAATTCTCATTTGTATGAGAAATTTCTGTGTCCAATAAACACATATGAATCATACAAGATATATAAGAACATATAAGAACCGTATGAGAACCATATAAGAACTATACATGATATATGAGAACATACAAGCGCCATATAAGAAACTAGTGGAAAGTTTCTTATAAGTTTCTTGTGGGGTTCTTATATATCTTATACAATTCTTATATAGTTCTCATATAATTCTTATATGGTTCTTATATGTTCTCATATGTTCTTATATGTCTTGTATGATTCATATGTGTTTATTGGACACAAGAAATTTCTCATACAAATGATTTTTTTTTACTAGGGGGTTCACTCTTTGGGCTGTAGATTTTGTTTTAAACTGATTCGAAGCAGTTTCATAGTGTCAAATGAATGCTTGGGAAGCTCGCTGCAGTACCCGCGCTCCAGCACGGAACAAATGATTGGTATATTCTATTTTTTGGCTGCTTGCTCGACTGGCAGGCCTGCCTGCCACTGACGTCACGGCCCTGAAAAGCGCGCGTATATTTGAATGTTGGTTTTTGCATCATTTTCATTTGCCGATTTCGCAATAACTATTATGAATTTCGCGATTCTAAATAGCATACCCGAGAGAGTAAAGGCCGGGGAGTCAAAAAATATAGTTAGTTGAGGTAGCTCAAAAAATCGGTGCAGTACCCCTTTAAGCGCCCGTTACCAGCATTAGCGCCGTCGCCGTCGGCGTCGGCATAACTGCGCTTTGCAGAAGGGGACGTTTTCCCGCTGCAGTTTGCGGAGATATTTCCCCGCTAAGGTTATCGTGAAAATTTTTCTGCTAAGTGGGGAAATTTCCTGCTAAATCTCACGCGGGAATTTCTTGCTAAATTTAAAGGGGGAATGTTTCCACTAAAATTAGCAGAGAAATATTTGCGCTAAATTTAACTAGAGAATTTTTCCGCTAAATTTAGCGAAGAAATTGTTCCGCTAAATGTGGCGGGGAAAGAGTACTGTTGCATTCAGCGGGGAAATTTTTACACAAAATTTACTGGGGAAATTGTTCTGCTAACCTTACCGTGGAAATTTTTGCACTAAATTTAGCGGGGAAACTTTTACGCTAAATTTAACGGGGAAATCTCCCCGCTAAATGGGAGGGCAGCATGCGAGAAGGAGGGGAACGTATGGAGGAAGAGGAGGGGCATATCCTCCTCCTCCATACCATCCCTCCTCCTCGAGAGAGCTGCGCTCTAATTCGTTGATCGCCTGAAAGCGTCTCCGTCTCTCCACACGCTTTACTTCTTACCCTGCGGCAAATCAGCACATGCGCCAATCAGGCACGTAGCCAGGGGGGAGGCCAATGGGGTCCGGCCCCCCCCACCCCCCCCCCCGAAATCTTTCATTTTCCTGGAACCACCCCCCCCCCCCCCCAACCAAAATCCTGGCTACGTGCCTTGCGCCCTTGTAAGCAATTCACGCAAGAGGCGTCTGCCATTGAAGTACAAACGCTCCACCCCATTGCAGTTGTTCCCTCTCCTAAATCTAGGCTAAGTGTATTTATGAAACGCTGCCGTCATCTGTTGCTAGTGGCACCAATCAGACGTGTGTCGCTTGAAAACGGACACCGCAAGCGGGAAAACAATCTTTTTCGTTTGACGTTCCATTCGTGAATGTTTGTTTATTTTTATTTTAATTTAAAAAGGCGCTACATATGCGAATGTCTCCAATAAATCATAGCGGGAAACCTTCAATATTGAGTTTTGTGATATTCTAAAAAACACTTCGCCCAGCGGGTTGAAATAAGGAAGCATCATTGGATCATGAGAAACACTGACTTCATATGGGGTATACGCCCCTCCACGTGGGTTCCACCGGAAACGGTCGCCTGGACATAAAGCTGAACGGCTGTAGATTTATACATTCATGGGATGTTCAAGAACAACGTCTTATGTGATTGAAGAGAAGGTTGAAAATTATTTCCTACGAACCTTGAGGTTCGAAACATTATGGTCGCTTTTTTATTCCTCATCAAGGTGAGACATAGGACATGGGAACGATAGCAGTCAACAAAATGGTTGTTGAGTTTCCGTATCCGAGCAGCGATATGATGCTGGGTAAGATTTTTAAACATCCCATAGATTGTTTTATATAATCAAAACGCCTATGTCCCCCCCCAAAAAAAGGACCCACATTACATTCGGTAAAGCGGGATTTCTATTTCTGAGGCAATTTTGGAAGAGCCGAATATTCAACAAGATTTATATAAACATTTGCTTATTTGAAGAATGCCTGGAACATAGTTTCATATGGACGCATAACAGCAGCTGTGCACGAGCACCGCCATAACGGACCTGAAAGTTTTTTGTTTTGTTTTTCATTCTTCCTTTTCCTGCACTTTAACATAACCACAGCGAAATAGGCTCTTGCCATTTTAGATTCTATTCTTTCCTTTTCCCCGTCATTGACATTCGTAAAGGCTTTTGAACGCCCTCTTCAGTGGCTTGGTATCTTGATAAGACAAGAGAAGGTCAGCAGTGACGGCGGTAATTTTGCGCGTGTGTAAACTTTCCATGGGCAATATTATTACATTTAAATCACACAAGGGACGACAATCTTTTTTAATGCTGCAATACCTAATAAAACAAATTAGCGGCCCCACTGAACCAGAAGCGTTAGTAACACAGGAGTAATTATGCAAAAAGCGTTTTCTTTGATGAAACTTGTCCGTCACTTTCTTCGATAGTGAAATCTTCTGAACTGCTCAACCTAGAAAAGAAAAGTTCTTTTTAAATTAACCGTGAAAAAAAAACACTGTTAGTAACTAACCCATATATTTGCTAAGTAATAAAGGGTTTTCCTTTTTTAGATTAACGAAGTATCGTTAATCACTTCAAAAGGTAACTATTTGACATAAATTTATCAACAGAGCATGTAAAAATCAGACCACATAAACAAACCTATACAAAACACTTGAAAAATTAATATATCTTAAAATAAACGTGATATTTAAAGTATATAGGTAAGACAATGGTCATTATTTCAATATCAACGTAAAAAAAAGCGTCAGTTTTTTCACTTTTTGATCGTGTAGCACATACAGTTATGTTTGGTATAGTGTAGTAGAGGGCTGCAGATGCCGTGCACGTGTTGTACTGGATAAGGGAAGCTGAAACATTTAATCTACAACGAAAGAAGCAACCGCCTTGTGTTTTCTTTCTTTTCTTTTTTTGTCGCCTGAATTTAGTTTTTGCACTGAAATTGCGTAGGATTTACAGTACATTGTTTTTTTTTGTAAAAAAACAAAATTAAAAATTTCTATGGGAGCATGCGTCGAACCCTTCTGCCGCCTGTTTTCTTTCAAAGGCGTCGTGACGTCATCTTTGACATATCCGAGCTGCCTGAGAAGCGAGCAAGTGTCATACTCATATGACACCGTTGATGACCTCAATTTCTCCAGTTTTCATTCCTTCCTTTCGACTTGCGTTCGGCGGGCGGCAGAGGGCGAAAATACTCCTTTTTTTTTTTTTGGTCACGTTGCTTTTATTAGCAATTTTAAAACATTCAAACAGGGAATTTTTGAGATGTCGACATAAAGCCCCCACAGGTTTTTGATTTACAAAGCCGCTCTTTTCTTTAAGAAATCGAAGTAAATCTAAGTGTTCATTTAAAATGCTATATAGGCTTGTCTACCTTAATGAGCTACCTTAACGCAGAGTGCGAGAAGTTACTGGTACAGAGATCTGGTTAAATGCTCATTCAATCTCAAATCTCATCTAAAAAGTGTAAAGTTTGTCTTGAAACCTTTGAAAAACACGCAGGGTTTTGTTTTTTTGCTTGGTTAAATCAGTAATTATTATGAGTTCATAGAACATAACTCTCATATACTAATGTATACAAATCAAGATATTAGAGGAAACCGTAATGCACGAGCTATCTATCTGAGCGATTTGGTGCAAATTGGAGAAGTCACTCTTACCCATGCACGCGAATTCGCACTCCCACTGGCTTTCGTATTCGTTGAGATTCCCACCACAGCCGCTATAAAGAAAGGTCTCGCAGGCTCCACTGGACACGTTGAAGAACCAGCGATCGAGAAACCCTTTGCAGATTCCTCTCTCCGGAGTGGGCTTGCACGCAGTGTCGAAGTACGAGGACCCGTCTTCGTTCTCCGGGGGTTCATCTTGCACCGCATCTATTAAAAGTAGAGAAGATAACAAAATACATGTCTTTCACTTTTTCCACATCTTTATAAAAGGCTTCTGTTGGACGTAATTTACCACAATTTTTACGCATTCATATCTAGCGTTCTCTACTTGTAGAAGTACTAAATATGTTACATGGGAGGTATAGCCGCCCTTTCTTTTGCTCACTTAAGCAGGAACAAATTCCGAGCTGTCCAACAGAGGTGCACACTTCTAAAACCATTGAACAAACAAATCCGAAGAATCAAATTTTAATGCCTAGGTTGGTTAAAATTCATGTAGTTATTGGCATTTGTTCCATAAATAATAAAGCAGTGTACTTCAAGAGCTGTGCACTTGAATACATTTTGCCAGAAAATATTTCAAGTAGAGCTTTTAAAGGCAAGCCTAAAGCGATTATCTTCTAGTGATCATCCGACTACTAAGTTCTAGCCCTCGAGTATATATATTTTAACTTCTAGCACCATATTCGTTGATAAACAATGTCATGATAGCATTTTTCCCTGTTCGTGAAGAGGTTTTGGCGCATTGTACAATTCCCAATTGTTTTGCTGAAACTAGTAATGGATATGTTAAATGTTATTTTATGAGATCTCAAATGATAAGCACGTGGAACTAATACAAACATTTAAAACAAAACCCTCTGAATATTTAAGGTTTTTATTTCGTCTGCATATAACCATGCCGAGGAGCCGTTTCATCCCTCATTTACGGCTATTTGTCTGTGCCCTATATGCTCCTCGTCTTCCCAATATTCGTCAAGAAGCGTTTGTTCCCCCAATATACTTGGACTTTAGCTCTGGCCAATGTAATCATTTCACGAAAACCTTGCAGCTAATATATTACGCAGAAAAGCGGAAAACTACGTGCCTGTTAAGGTCTAGAGCTTTATTTCTATATCGATAACAATTACGCCTCTAATGTTCCTTTTTTCCTTTCAATATTTGGCTATCTAAACACGATGATAAAATTGAGTACAGCACTAACTTTTGCACGCCGCCTCACAATCTTCGATTGTCCAGAAGTTGTTGAGGTTGCCCATGCAGCCGCCATAGATGAAGGGCATGCATTCTCCCGACGACTGGTTGAAGTAAAAACGAGAAATTCGTGCACGGCACACTCCCTTATCCGGAGAAAGCTTGCATATTTCATTCCATTGTGCTGCAATACAATGAAAACAAAGATGAAAAGAAGTATGCACGAGAGGTGGTGGCGCCGAGGTTTTGCAATTCACAATTTGCATTGTAACTATGTCACTGGCATCTTAAGACACGCAGGGCAAGGCCAATTTCTTTCAGGGTTCTCGTTTCATCAATGGTTCTTCAGAGTCTTTGTCAACTAACGCCGCGTTCTTTTTGACTGCAGACCGATAATAAGATGCTCCAAACTCGCCATTTTCTGCATTTCTTAAGCTCCCAGTGACTACAGTCAACTGAGTCGACACTTTAAAAAATTATTCCCCTTAGCTTACCGGCGACAGTTCCAACGAGGAAAAAAACCAGGAGGACCTTCATGGCGACTGTGAGTATCCAATGCGTTCACCGAGAAAGACCAGGCGCTTTTTGTAGTACCGATATGCCCTCAGGTTGCACCGGTGAACTCTCACGGCTGTTGACGTGCTTTGGAGAGAAACGCGTCAGCTGCGCTTTGCGATATCTCACGGAGAACCTTAGTGCGGCTAGTCCTTATCTAGCTATCAAGGCACCCATTTGGAAATAAATCGATAATGTAGTATCATCGACCGCAGCTATCGCCCTTGGGGCCCGAGTTTGATCGCCACGAGAGCGAGATCTGACTTGCTCTTCGCGGAACTAGCTAAGGTGACGTTCGTAATCGGTTCGTCCGCTCACGCGAGCGAATAACGCGGTTCGTTCGCTACGGAGTGCCATTCGCGGATGGAAATAAAATAAGAAAACATTGTACGTCGTCGGCCTACAGTCCGGGAAAAAAGCTCATCGTCTGATAAAGTCTAAGAAAAAGGAGAGCGGGAGTTATTTCCACCGTGGAGCAAAGGTTTTGGAACAACCTTTAGTCCCCGGGGGGGGGGGGGGGGGGGGGGGGGGGGGGGGGGGACTAACAGGGACAGGGGAAACTTTGGCGTCTCTCCCGTTAGCCCCTTCATGTCAGAACCCCAGATATAACCTTTGCACACTTGAATTTAGACTCCCGAGACTAAATGTTGTGTTCTTACATTTAGAGCCCTGGGGCTAAACGTCGCACCCTTGCATTTATACGCCTGGGACTAAATGTCGCACCCTTGCACTTAGACCCCTGGCGCTAAATGTCGCGGCGTTGCACATAGACCCCTGGGACTAAAATTTAATACTTTGCATTTGGTCAGGAGACGCTAAATTTTGAATGCTTGCTTTTTGGTAATCTTGGACTAAAAGTTGTACCCGACAAATCGCGCCTCACTGGAGAGATGTGCCTCGGGCTGACATACTGGTTGACCAGTGTGCTCAAATCTAAACAGAATGTTGCAGTTTAAATCAAATGTAGCTGTATTGCCTTAGATATACATCACATTTAAGGATGACTGAAATCAAATTTTCTAAGCGGCAGAATCCACTGTAAGGCCGAACTCCGAAAACTACACTTGCGTCAACAAAGACCTAGTACGAGGTCTGTTCAAACTTAAAACCGGTCGCGATTCAAGCACGTTTTTCTTGGGTAACGGAGAGCTTCTTGGCTGTTCACGAGAGATATGAATTAATAGTAACACCGGAAGTGAGAAATACATAATCGCTGCACAAACGTAAAAACATAACAGGCTCATAATAAAATAACAAGTAGAGTGCGTAAGTGCTGTAACGGTTGACATAATAGATGCAATCTTTTGGCAGTGGACCAGCACAATATTAGATTTTTAGTACACCATAAGCCGCGGAAGAGGGAATTAGCGGGCTAGTGCTCAATCTATGCTTTAAAATGACGGCACCAGCTTCTGCTAGCAACGCGAAAGTCAAATGCACAGTCGACTAAGAGTCTCTCTTATGGTCAAACGGCGCATGCCAGGATTTGAAAAATAAAAATAAACTATGATTAGATTCGGGATTCGCTCACTTATATGAGATAGCCGCATGCAATTCATTCTCACATCATCTGTGCCACATAACAAAACCAGCCCCCATGTTGCCAAAAAGAATAGAGCATTGCGTGCGCTATGTCAGCTCGAGAACGCTCTCAAACTGAAAACGATTTCTCAAGCTGCAGAGAATGAATGCACGTAGTGAACAGAAGTACTTCGACATACCTTTATCGAGTTTCCTTGACTTGTTACTTTAGGACTCATCAAGCGCATTGCTGCAGCAACGCGAATCCAAACCAGATCCCAAAAATTTTCTCAGTGAGAGCAAAATGAGAACCAAACGCAATTCGGACTAGCGAGGTGGGAGACGATGTAGCTCGTTCCCCATCGTCGGCACTCCGGTCAAGTGACGTGCGTGCACCTACCCCTTAGCGAAGAACAGCGTAATAAAAGCATACCTGGTATGTTTCTAGTGTGCTGTTAAGCAAACAGAGCGGCTGAATCATATTAAAAGTATGTTAATAGTATGTAGCCCCCGAAGGCCCATCTATGATCTAAGTATACAGGCTGAATATAAGTTATAGTAGTGACGTGTCTGAACCCGTTTGCGCCGAAGGTCATCACCTTCTGCGCAAACGGGTTCAGACACGTCACTGTTGCGGTCGCGGATGGCCTTCTGAGAAAGCGCTGTCTTGTGGAAAACAATGGGAGCCAGCTGGCAAGGCAAAAAAGAAAAGTTGTTCGATACCGTATATACACCGAGTGTCTCACAATTTAAAGAAAGTAGCAATGGGATCAAATGTAAAAGTAGTATTTTCTGTGCCCAATAAGCTCATGGACCTGTGCAAACTATCAAAGCCTGGCGTGCGTGCCAAACACGGATGTGAAAAGAAGCACAGAACGAAATTTATCGACTGTACAGATGGTGTGGTTTATCGCATTCCGTTGTCCTGTGGCAGGCACTACGTCGGGCAGACGGGGCGCTGCCTCAATGATCGGATTCCCGAGCACAATAACAACGTGCAAAAAAATAACGGTGGCTTTCTTGACCTGCATTGCAGGACATGCGGTTGTACCCCACTGTTGGACGGATGCGTGAAAATTCGGAAATGCAAGTCAGCGTCAACACGCGAAATCGTAGAAGCCGACCAGATTGATTATTTAGGAGACACGTGTGTCTCCTAAATAATCAATTGCGTTATCGGAGAAGGAATTGCTTTTCCTGAGAACGAGATAGTGTTATTTTCCAATTATGCTCTGTGATGGTCGTTTTCCTTTGCTTTTGTCATTTTGCTGTCATTGTGACGATGGTTGAGACTATAAATACCGGAACAGGTATTAAATAAAATTCAGTTGAAAGTTGCGCCTTGTTGTGTCCTATTCTCTGCTTTCGTCCTCGTCCTTGCTGCGCACAAGATTGTATAAGATGTCATCACACAGGCGTGTTTGTATATTTCATGGTGGCACTATTTGGCCCTATACAAAACACACGTCTCTCTACGTAGGTTGACCGATCCACTCGTCGTCATGATGTTCGACGTAATATCAGCTATGACGGCGAAGTAGTCAAATTTTTTTACCGACTTTTTTCAACCTAGGTTCTCCGTAGGACAAAAACGCTAGGCGGAACATTTGTCGCGTGACTCGCTCTGACGCGCCGATGGGCTCCCTGGGAGCGTAGTCTTTGCCGTTTGCCAAGTTATGGTGATTGGTGGGGGATCGCGTAGGTCCGGTTTCCGAAATGCCCTCTTCAGTGTTTTGCTTTCGTCCGTTGCAGTGGCGGCCGTGGTTTTCCATCGCGAACGGCTGAAACACGTCCGTGCCAACGTTTCTGTAATGTGTGTTTTAGATGCGGAGCATCTCTTGCTCGGGTCTATGTCCCGCGGCGTCGTAGTCCGCACTCACACTACGCATGCGCAACTCTCCTCCTTCCCTCTCTCCAACAGCTGCGCGTTACTCTCTCCGCTCTTTCTCTCTACCAGCTGCGTGCACTTCGCGTGCGTTCGCTTCTACTCACACCGCGCGCGCATGCGCAACTCTCCTCCTCTAGTCCCCTCTCCTTCAAGTGTGAATATAAGCAGTGGTAGCGCGCTGCGCGCGTTCAGGGGAGGATGTGGCCCAGTGGGCTAACCCGTCTCAGCTCGGAGCGTGGAGCGAAAGCTTGCGCTGGGAACCTCCTGGGTTCGATCCCCGACGCCCCTGCCCGTTTCGATCTGGATGAGTTTTGTACCGGCACGCGTTCGTGTGATCACTACTGCGTGATGCACGTTAAAAACCCCAGGTTAGCGGTTGTACTGCACTGGGTAAATTTCTCATCTACAGCTAAGAGACCGATTACCTGTTGAGGCGCATTTCCATCAAGGCTGTATAAACATAAAGAGCAAACCAATTTGCGCGCGTTCAGTGGGAGGAAGTGGCCGAGTGGGCTAACAACGCGTCTCAGCTCGGAGCGTGGAGCGAAAGCTTGCGCTGGGAACCTCCTGAGTTCGATCCCCGCCGCATTCCGAAGTGGGATTACCGCTGAGCCTCCCCGGAACAGTGGTGGCTGCGACAGCCACGTTCACGCCGACGAACGTGAGTCTTCTTCGCGGGCGGTGGTGCGCGTCCATTGTTTCCGCCACCGACGAGAGGCCGTTCAGTGTTCCCGTTGACTCGACGAGAAAGCACAGCCATGGCCGCGGACCGTGAGCTCGTACGGACCCTGGCGTCGCAACCGGGCTTCGCATCGGTGACCGCGATGCCAGACTTGACGGCGTCCATTCCCGCCTTCTCAGACTCGTCGTCGGCAGCGAGCGCCATGAAGTGCGCGGGACTGGGAGGGGACTGGGACCGGGAAGCGACTGGAAACTTGGTCGAAATGGGCTGAAGAACTACAGATGGTGTTCCCCGATGATGACGATTCGCACTCTACGAGATGATGCTCCGGCGGACACAGACCGGGTGAGTCCGTCGCTGATTATTTTTTCGACAAGAGCTTCTTCTGCTCGAAGTGTGACGTCAAGGAAATGAGTTTACAATGGCGCAGCTTATAATCGCGGAACTTCGGAACATGAACCACGCTGTGATCCTGCGGCTTCAACAGCGACGTTCGCAACGTCTTTCGAAATTTTGCAAAAACTTGCTGATTTTTTTTTCTTGAAATCACTCGTTGCAGAACAAGCAGCCCACAAGAAAAAAAAAAAAAGACACTGTGGAGGACAAGCTTCTCAAAAAGCTTCGCCAGGAGCTGAAAGGTCACAGGGTATGTATAACAACATTTTTGTTAGAAAGTGTTAGCTTTATGGAGAGCGCATCAGATTTATATAATGTTGCCATTTTGGTGCTTGGTTAGATATATTTTAATCAATGTCATTATTGCTTTTTCAAGTGTACTTATCAATTATTCATTCATGCAAACTGCAAGCTGTTCAGAATGCTGAAGTAATTGGAGACTAGATATACTGTTTCAGTAACCTTTGCACTGTGAGGGCAGATGACATATGATGTTATTTTCCTCAGCATTAGAAAAAGTTGGTGGCAACGGGAATGCAGCTTTGCGGGTCAGTCAGAGGTCACTTCTGGGAAGCAGTTGCTTAGGACTTCCAATGTTATACTTTGTTGTACAACTCTGATAATCTATCATTACTGCTTATATTTTCTGT